GCGCGCGCACGCGCGCGCGCGCATGCACGTGTGTGCATATGCCTCGGCCACAGCCCTGTGTATGTGTGTGTCTGCACGTGTACATATGCCTCAGTCACGGCCGTGTGTGCCTGTGTTCACATGTGTGCATGTCTCAGCCACAGCTGTGTGGGTGTCTGTGTGTTCATGTGTGCATATGCCTCGGCCACAGCTGTGTGTGTGCGCATGTGTGCATGTCTCAGCCACAGCAGTGTGTGTGTGTGTGCGCATGTGTGCGTATGCCTCGGCCACAGCCGTGTGCGCATGTGTGCGTATGCCTCGGCCACAGCCGTGTGTGCGTGCGCCCGCATGTGTGCGTGTGCCTCGGCCACAGCCGTGTGCGCATGTGTGCGTACGCCTCGGCCACAGCTGTGTGTGCGTGCGCCCGCATGTGTGCGTACGCCTCGGCCACAGCTGTGTGTGCGTGCACCCACATGTGTGCGTATGCCTCGGCTACAGCTGTGTGCTCATGTGTGCGTATGCCTCGGCCACAGCTGTGTGTGCATGCGCCCGCATGTGTGCGTATGCCTCGGCCACAGCTGTGTGTGCGTGCGCCCGCATGTGTGCGTATGCCTCGGCCACAGCTGTGTGTGCGTGCATGTGCATGTGTGCACACCTCCGTCACCTGCAGCTTGTGCACCTCTTGCAGGCCAAGAGAGCAGCAGGCAGCCCCATGTGTTCCTTTTTCAGTGTTATTGTCCTCATCCTCTGGTTTGTTTCTTTCACATACACTGGAGTAAGCATAGCTGTTTTTCAAAGTGCTTGTAATTCTGGAGTAAGAACTACAGTGTTTCCTGTGCCCGGAGTGTGGTTTCCTGGTCCTGGATTGTGCACTGGCATGATCTTGGCTCACTGCAGCCTCTACCTCCCGGACACAAGTAAATCTCCTGCCTTAGAATCCGGAATAAGGGCCGGGCGTGGTGGCTCAAGCCTGTAATCCCAGCACTTTGGGAGGCCGAGGCGGGTGGATCACGAGGTCAAGAGATCGAGACCATCCTGGTCAACATGGTGAAACCCCGTCTCTACTAAAACTACAAAACATTAGCTGGGCATGGTGGTGCGTGCCTGTAATCCCAGCTACTTGGGAGGCTGAGGCAGGAGAATTGCTTGAACCCAGGAGGCGGAGGTTGCGGTGAGCCAAGATCGCGCCATTGCACTCCAGCCTGGGTAACAAGAGTGAAACTCTGTCTCAAAAAAAAAAAGAATCCAGAATAGCTGGGATTACAGGTACTTGCCGTCACACTCGGCTAAGTTTTGTATTTTTAGCACAGATAGGGTTTTACCATGTTGGCCAGGCTGGTCTCAAACTCCTGTCTTCAGATGATCTGCCCTCCTTGGCCTCCCAGCGTGCTGGGATTATGTGCGTGAGCCACTGCGTCCGGCCTGGATTGTGGTTCTGATAAAATGCTGTTGCACATCTTTTAGCAGATACCGTCATTGAGCATTGTATGAAGCTGGGGAGGGCATCATGCCACTTGCTCTGTGGGCGGTGCTGGGCTGCCCATTCTCACGTCTGTCTCTCTGCTCTAGTGTGTGGCCCACAATGCCCTGGAGTGTGCACGCGCCATCTACGCCTACGCCCTGCAAGTATTCCCCAGCAAGAAGAGTGTGTGGCTGCGTGCCGCGTACTTCGAGAAGAACCATGGCACTCGGTATGTGGTGGGCCCGTCTGCCCCAGTGTGCTAATGAAACCTCCACCTCCGTTTGTGTAGCCCTGAATTTAACCCTCTCATCTCTGCACACACGGTATTGTGCCCATTGGAGGCCTGGCCCTCTGATGGTGATGAAGGTTTTCATGGCACTTGGGACTTTGCAACTGCATCCATTTTTATAGCCCCTTCTGGGATAGGACTGTTACTGTTTCATAGTGGAGAAACCAAGGAATCCAGGAGGCCCATCCTGCCAAGTGTCCTGCAGCCTGAGGAGTGGCCAGAGTGTAGGCTTGAGGCTGGAGCCCGCGTGGCTCATGCCTGAGCACTGGTTGCAGCGGTGGGAGGGGCAGCATCTGGGCTCAGGCGGGCGTGTTTTCTTTCCATTTAAGCTGTGTCGGCTTTGGGTTTTGACTGTTTTTGTGCTTAGAGGAGGTCCTTGACAATTCTCTTTTAACTGTGCTCTTTAATTGAAAAGGTCTTTCAGGTCTGCTCTGTTGGCTGTAAGTGCTGAGTAAATTAGGTGTTGCAGTTTATTGTTTTAAATGGGTAGCTCTCAAGGGCATTGGGCTTGCGTCCCCACGAACCCTCTGTGCATCCTCTCCCAGATCCTCGGTGATGCTCCCTGTGCCGGGTGAGGACAGGCCCTGCTGGTTTCACGGGGGCTACAGCTGAGAAGGTTGAGCCTTTGCCTCTTTCCTTCTCTGGTGTTATTTAATCTCAGTGTCTTCAGGGCGTCTTTCCGTGTGGTGGCCCTCTCATACGCCCACCAGCTGGTCTGGTGTTTTGGAGTGTTTGGAGATGTTTTGAAAGGCTCTCATGGTGCCCCTCTGTAGAAGGGCACCTGGAGCAGTCTAAGTGAAGAACAGAGCGGTGCTGGGTGTGGGCTGAGGTCCCAGCCTGGATGAACTGCTGCCCTCTCCCCCTGGGCACAGTGGGCAGTGCCCTCCTGCTGCCCTGCCTTCTCCTGCAGTGCAGGCTCACGGGGATGAGGGGAGGCAGCAGTGCTGGGGAGCTGGTCCTCGGGGAGCACGGTTGCTTGGCCAGCCCTTCTCCACACTGTGTGATTGTGTGTGCTTGCTTTGTCTTGCTGTTGCACTCACTGAGGCCCAAAGGGTTAGGTGACTCTGGGTGGCGGGCCGCACGAGTCCAGGGGCGTCAGGCCTGGTACCCAGGGCTGGTGGTTTTGCTCGATAATGACCTAAAATCACTTTCTTCCTACGAGAGCGTTCTTTCGGATGCCGGCAGAGTCCACCTGGGATCATAATCTTTATCGGTGGGTCCGGGTGTGCTTGTGCTCTGTGGCTCAAGATGAAAAGCCTCCCCTGTCCCAGATGGAACTTACTGCTGCCTCCAGGACACACGGCTGTAAAAGGGTCTCTTGTGAAGTTCCTGTCTCCAGTGCTGCTATTTAAACAATGCATTGCTTTGTAGAACCCTTTTCAGTAGTTTATTTTAGAAGCTTTATTGAGAGGAAAGATTTCCCCACACTCTCCCCATCATAAAATCTGGTCAATCATTTATAGCATCGAACTTTGGAGCAGTAACTGTCTTTCTGGCGCGCACGCCATGGCCGAGTGTGATGTGTGTTCTGGTTTATGGCCCTGACTGTGGTGCCCGTGGCCTCTGTCTTGCAGGGAGTCCCTGGAAGCACTCCTGCAGAGGGCTGTGGCCCACTGCCCCAAAGCGGAGGTGTTGTGGCTCATGGGTGCCAAGTCCAAGTGGCTGGCAGGGGATGTGCCTGCAGCAAGGAGCATCCTGGCTCTGGCCTTCCAGGTGGGTGAGGGTCACCTGAGTGGTGAGGGGCTTGTGCACACAGGAGCTGACCTGGGTGCCAGCTGGGCCTGAAAGAATCCTCCATGCAACGTGGCACGTGCTGTGGTTGGGATTCCCTGGAGTCCCCCCCAGGAGCGGGGCTGTGAGAGGAGCAGAAAGGCAGCCCAACGGGCAGGTGCTTACCTCTTGGTCTCCCCACCCAGTGTGACCACGGGCTCAGTGTTTCAGCACATAGAGCACGGGGTCACACAGTGGCTGAGGGCGCCCTTACGTGAGTGGACGCATGCAGACAGCCTCACTGAGCCAACCCTGAGCGTGCCTGGTTGCCATGAGGCATGTGGGTTTTTAAGTACGTTGTTTTTATTGTCCCGTATGACACCCTAATACTTTATGACGATGTGGTGTTAGTCAAATGGCTTTGCAGCATACTTTTTAATAAACTGTAGAATGCTACAAACACTGTGGCTCAGGCTCACATCACAGAGTGTGCCCTTCCCTGAGCAAACACCAAGAGAAGGCACTGGCCTGGTTGAACCTTTTACAGTAGGCTGCCTGTCTGAGATGGCATCACTCTGTGAGTAACTGCAGCGTCTGCTCCGTCTGCCCGCTGTCTGCTGCCTGTCAGGTGGCTTTCCTTGCCCACCCATTTTGGGACTGCTTTTCAGGTCTTCTGTGACATGGTCATCTTGCATGGTCAGTGGGCGGCTATGCTGATTAGGGTTAGTCTGAGCACCAGCCCTGGGGAGGCTTTGAGGGCAGAGCCTGGGTGTCCACTGGACTCTGGGCTGTGTAAGCCTTCTCGGCCTGTGGGTGCCATCTCCACATGTCAGCGGCACACTGGGGGTTCTCTGTCCTGCCCACATGGACTCACAAGGACAGGACAGCTGGCTTCCTTTCACCAAGCTCAGGGGAAGGAGGGAGGTTGGGTGTGGTGGGTATACCGGTATAAGATGTGAGTGACCCATTCGGGGGCTTTGAGAGGGTGTGGGTGGATCCTGGGTAAGATGGCCCTGCACCTACCCACCTTACTGCTTGCTTGAATGCTTCGGAGGCCTCCCCACTGTACCAGAATGAACATGGGCCTGTGTTCCAGGTGAGTCTGGACTCTTGGGCTGGAGTCTGCTCTGTCATCTCCTCCCTGGAAAGGGCTTGGACCAGGCTAATCCTGCAGCAGAGCCAGGCCTGGCCGGGTTCCTCCTGCCTGCCTGCTTTTGATTAATGTGATTGAGCGCTGGTCCCTGTGTTCTGACCCCTCTTGACGTTGCTGTACTTGCCCTCCAGGCCAACCCCAACAGCGAGGAGATCTGGCTGGCAGCCGTGAAGCTGGAGTCTGAGAATGATGAGTATGAGCGGGCCCGGAGGCTGCTGGCCAAGGCGCGGAGCAGCGCCCCCACCGCCCGGGTGCGAGGGGCAGGCAGGGCTGGGCTGGGCTGTCGGGGGCGTCGTGCACTTGGGTGGTGGTGGGAGTGAGGTGACAGCAGGCAAACTAGGCCTTGGCACACGCTCATCTTTGTGATGTGAATTTAAGTCATACATTTATCCCCACCATTTGTGTACACAAACGCGCTATGAAACCTTACAGAAGTACACACAGTATTGCAGGTAGTGATGTTGAGGAGTTGAGGATGAGCGTAACGTGAAGCATGTGCCCTGGAGCCGATGCCCTGTGTGACCATGCGTGTCTGCCCCGCAGGTGTTCATGAAGTCTGTGAAGCTGGAGTGGGTGCAGGACAACATCAAGGCAGCACAGGACCTGTGTGAGGAGGCCCTGCGGCACTATGAGGACTTCCCCAAGCTGTGGATGATGAAGGGGCAGATCGAGGAGCAGAAGGAGCTGATGGAGAAGGCACGGGAAGCTTACAACCAGGGGGTATGTCGCTGCCCGCACCCAGGGCTGCCGCTGACCCAGCGCTCACAGAACCGAGCCCCCTAGTGCAGGGTCATGGCCCTTCACCTCCAAGGAGAAGTAGGGGGCTGGGGAGTTACAGCTGATGGAGCTTCTGGTACCTTCACTGTCCTGTGCTTTTCCTTGTACAAAGCTGCGCGCCTGCCCTCAGCAGTGCAGAGTGTGGCACACCTGAAGTAAAGGCTGGTGTATACACACCTGTGTGCACAGGTACATAGCGCTGCTGCACACCTGTGAACCCACAAACGCAGAGAGCATGGAGGGTGTTTTTCCGTGGACACAGGCTGCCCTGAGGCACTTGCTCAGCCACGGCAGATGAGAAGCTGGGCGTGGCTATGTCCCAGTTCTTCATAGGCACTACCTGAGCTGCTCTCTTACTTGTTGGCTGCAGTTGAAGAAGTGTCCCCACTCCACAGCCCTGTGGCTGCTGCTCTCTCGGCTGGAGGAGAAGATTGGGCAGCTTACTCGGGCACGGGCCATTTTGGAAAAGTCTCGTCTGAAGAACCCAAAGAACCCTGGACTGTGGTGAGTCCTGGTGGGTCTAGGCAGCCTGGGCGCTTGGCACAGCTCACCCATCAGGTGCCGTCCTTAACCAGCTGCGTGTGTGGAGTCGCTTGTGCGGCGTTTCCAGGCTCAGGAGCTTGGGGGGCGGTAGGTGCTGGCCATGAAAAATAATGGTCGCTGCCTTGGGAGAGTCCAGCCTAGGCCTCTAGATGGCTTGATGCAGTTTAATTTGTGCTCTGATGGAGGGGCCTGGGGGAGAGAGGGGTTAATGATGGCTGGGGCGAAGGAAGCATGGATCCCAGAATACTGACTCCATAGAGGAGGTGGCTGGAGGGCCCTGGAGGTGGGCAGGAGTCTGCCAGGTGCAGGCTGTGTTCATGGAGGTGCAGCGTCCAGCTCCGGGTGACAGGGCTGGAGCACTGCAGGGGTACTGCTGCAGACGGACGGCTCTACCAGGGTGACAGGGCTGGAGCACTGCAGGGGCACTGCTGCAGACGGACAGCTCTCCTGGGTGCCTCGGGCGGCCCTGGCTCTCCCAGGCTGGTCTTGATTGTTCTGGGTGCCCTCACCTGCATCAGGATTTGAGGTCTTGCCTTGGGGTGCCTGCTGGTGGGGCAGGCAGGGATGTGGGCACCAGTGCCTTGCTTCTCTGGTGGATGAACTCTGCTATGCAGGGAATGGAGTTTTTGCTGCTGTGACTGGGTTGAGAGCCCTTTCAGATGGGACTTCCCAGGTGCTCCCACAATGTGTGCTGTTGGTAGATGGCTATGGGACCTCCTGGGGCCTGTCTCCCCAGGTTGGAGTCTGTGCGGCTGGAGTACCGTGCGGGGCTGAAGAACATCGCAAACACGCTCATGGCCAAGGCGCTGCAGGAGTGCCCTAACTCCGGTAAGTGGGCGCTTCCTGCTTCTCACACTCAGGAGGGCTGGCGCCTCCTGAGGGAGTGGGGATTCGAGCTTCAGACAGACTGTATTAAAATGTTTTGTTTGTGTGAATCATTTCAGTCAAAAGTTTCACCCGTACTTGGCCATTAAAACATTTTAATGAGGCCGGGTGTGCTTACTCACGCCTGTAATCCCAGCACTTTGGGAGGCTGAGGTGGGTGGATCACCTGAGATCAGGAGTTTGAGACCAGCCTGGCCAACATGATGAAACCTCGTCTCTTCTAAAATACAAAAATGAGCTGGGCATGGTGGTGCGTGCCTGTAATCCCAGCTACTCTGGAGGCTGAGGCAGGAGAATTGCTTGAGTCTAGAAGGCAGAGGTTGCAGTGAGCTGAGATTGCACCACTGTACTCCAGCCTGGACAACAGAGTGAGACTCCATCTCAAAAAAAATTTTTTAAGAAATTATTTTATAATACTAATGAATATATTAAATTTATTTAATAAATAATTTAAAAATAAAATATTTTTAAATTTTATCATTTTATGTCAAGTAATGCGTGTTCAGTGTGACATTCGATGTAAGAAGGGAGTGGAAACCAGCTGTAGACTGCTGCTGGTAGCTTGTAAATTACAGCTTGTGTTCTTGCAGAAGACTAAAGTCATGCTGTATGTTCAGTTTTGTACGTTTTCTTCAAGCTAAACAGTTAGTGAGAATTTTTTATTCTGGTTGACTCTTCAAGAATGTTAGCTTTTAGTGGCATTCTGTAATTGGACATGTTAAATACGCTGCTAACCAGTTGACCGATTATTGGACATTTAGATTTTCTCCAGTTTTTAATCTGATATTGCTTTGAGGTGACTGTCTTTCTGTATGAATCTTTATAAACATTTCTGGTGGTTTTGTTATGATACCTTTTTTTTTTTTTTTTTTTTTTTTTTGAGATGGAGTTTTGCTCTTGTCGCCCGGGCTAGACTGCAATGGCTCGATCTTGGTGCACTGCAGCCTCCGCCTCCCGGGTTCAAGTGATTCTCTTCCTGCCTCAGCTTCCTGAGTAGCTGGGATTACAGGTGTGTGCCACCATGCCTGGCTAATTTTTGTATTATTAGTAGAGACGGGTTTCACCACGTTGGTCAAGCTGGTCTCGAACTCCTGACTTCAGGTGATCCACCCTCCTTGGCCTCCCAAAGTGCTAGGATTACAGGCGTGAGCCACAGTGCTGAGCCATTATAAATTCTTAAATGTGAAGTTGTTGAGTCAGTAGGACCTTAAAGGGTGTCAGCCTTTCCATCCCAGTCTCCCCCAGCAGGGGGTCCCTTCTGTGCCCTTGGGGCTGCCGTGGGTTTGGGTGGGCTGGAGCGCTCATCCTTCATGGTTCTGCTCGCACAAGTTCTGCCAGCAGTGTGTGGGGACCCCGCCATGGTCTGAGGATGTCCCCAGGAAGAATCTCTGTAGATTGGGCACCTTTCTGGAACCAGAGGCAAGAGGCTGGCATGCCTATCTTTGTTTCTGAATTTCAGGTATCCTGTGGTCTGAGGCCATCTTCCTGGAGGCGAGGCCCCAGAGGAAGACCAAGAGCGTGGATGCCCTGAAGAAGTGTGAGCATGACCCTCACGTGCTCCTGGCCGTGGCCAAGTGAGTGGGGCGTCATCATAAAGATGCCCAGCAGCAGGGTGGGCTCCCCCAGTCCTCGGCTGCTGTCGCTTCTGCTGTGGTCTGGGGCAGGCGCCTTTCCTGGCAGAGACAAGCTGAGGTGCTGCCGCATCACCTGGTGTCTGCGCCAACGCCAGTCTGGGGAGGAACAGAACAGCCAGTCTCTCTCTCTCGCTCTCGCTCTCGCTCTCGCTCTCCCCCTCTCTCCCCTGTCTCCCCTCTCTCCCCCTC